AAGAAAGAAAGAAAGAAAGAAAGAAAGAAAGAAAGAAAGGAGGGAGGGAGGGAGGAAGAAGGAAGGAAGGAAGGAAGGAGAGAGAGAGAGAGAGAGAGGGAGAGAGAGATTAGAAGTGGAGATATTACTTGTTCTCTGCACCCCATCCACCTGCAATCACATTACGCCCCAAAGGAGACAGTGGGGAAGATTTCATTAATAAATTTATTCCCCCCCCATCTCATTTCAATAGCACGGAAGGAAAAAAAATGTATGCAAATCCGTTTGTAATTAGGTTTAAAAATTCCATTTCATGGGATAATCAGACTTCAAAAAACTCAATTTTAGTTTTAATCAGATTTTAACAAGGATATTAACTCCATTTCGCTCATGAGAGAGAGAGAAGTGGCAAATTCCACGCAAATGTATTCAAGCTTAGCCTTAGGAGATAATTAAATAAAATTAATTTGGCAAGAATTGTCAGTAAATGGAAGCATTCCAGATAGCAGAGCCTGCCTCTGAAAAGAAACAAACGCTGTCTCGTTTCCATACGTGGGGATACAAAGCTTATTGTTCCACAGGAAAGAGGGGGAAATCTCCAATCTTCTACGAAGAGCCCTGAAGCTTCTTCCAAAGGGCGTCGTCTTCTAGAGGAGAGAAGACTGCCCTCTTCGGATAAGCTTCTTAAAAGTCACCCAGGAAACAAGGGTGTGAAATACAAGGGACCACAAAAAACCCCACAAAAAGGACCGTAAAGCGATCCTGCTGAGAAGCCAAGCGACGCTTGGAGAAAGGGAGAAGGAGGTTTGAATGGAAGGTGGCCTTTTCGGAGGGCCAGAGGCTGGAGGCGGCATTTTGATTTATTGGTTTGCGCCATTGGTGGGTGGAATCACAAGGCGTGTGACTCACGACAATTCAAAACAAGGACGGATGCCAACAACTGACCCTCTGCCAGAAACGGTGTAGGGTCTCCCGCTTGGGAGGGGTTGGACTGGATGACCTCCAAGTCTTGTTAAATCTGTTCTCTCTTGAAGAAGAAAAACAACCACCAAGGACCCTGAACGTTGTTCATCCTAATGTCGGCACGCCTGAAAACCTTCCCGGGTCAACGGGCCTCCTCTCGTCGGGCCAGGCAAATTTCGCTTTCCGCTCAGATCGCTAACGGACTTCGCTCTGCGGTGAATGAAACGACCCATGGCAGCAAAATTGCTTTCCGTCTCGTCTCACTCTAAGCCTGGAAACAGAACGCGGAGGAGACGCTCGCATCCTTTTTACCCTGGGAAATGTCTTTTTATGACTGGTTTGATGGGCACACACTGACTGCTGAGCAGCAGAGCTGGCATCCTCTGGTGCCAGGTTTTAGACGAGCTGGCAACCCCCCTCGCCCTCGACTCAAAAGAGTCAATTCTCCAGAAAGCCAGTAGCTTGACAATGTTTGTCAACAAGAGGCCTCCCTATGATCACCAACGCAAGAGGTTCAAAGCGGCAAGCGAAGTCGCCAAACCGGCTATTTAAGGAACAATGATACCCCAGTGCAACAGGAAACCTGGATAATTGGACAGTGGTTTGCTGAGGTATATAACTCCTAAATGAATACAATTTCCCTGCACACACACACACACACACACACACACACACACAGAATAGGCACACAGCGATACGGCCCTTCTCCCTTTTACGCTGCCAAACTATTGGAAGCGTTTCCAAAGAAGAACTAAAACAGAAATAGTTATTAATTAATGCGTGCTACACAATCTCCCTCAAAGTACAAGGAACGCGAAGCCAAATGATTTTTTTCTAAATAATAATAATTTAAAAGAGAGAGAGAGAGAGAGATAGAAGAGCAGCTCCGGTGGCCTAGAGGCGGAGCTCTCACCTCACAATCAGGAGGCTGTGAGTTCGATTCTGGGTAGAGGCTAATATTTGGAATAGACTCTCCTGCTCGAGCAGGGGGTTGGACTAGATGACCTCCAAGGTCTCCAAGGTCTATGAGCATCAAAAGACAAGCAAGGCTTTTAGTATTATTCCTCAGAGGTAGACAGAAGGCTTAGAACAATTTAATCTGTTTGGTTCATAATGAACATCTGCAATATATATATACATATATATATACAATATAGAGAAGCACAGAGCCGAAGACAGAGGCCTGAAGATGATGAATGAGACTTCATCGAAACGTTGCCTAGACACTTTGAATCTTACGCGGGAGAAAACCCGAACAACCAAAGATCCACATACAAATACCCGCGAGAACCTCAGAAAACACATATGTATATACAGTATACACATTGATATATATATATATATATATATCGCCAGACTTGCAAATCATAATGGATTAGTTGAGACACAAAGAGCTGGGAACTCTGAAGTTATCTTCCAAGGAAGGAAGGAGGGAGGGAGGGAGGAAGGAAGGAAAGAAGAAGAAAAAGAGAGGGAAGGAAGGAATAAAGGAGAGAAAAGGAAGGAAGGAAGGAAGGAAGGAAGGAAGGAAGAGAAGGGAGAAAGAAAAAGAAGGGGAAGATGGAAGGAAGGAAAGAAAGAAAAAGAAGGAAGGAAGGAAGGAAGGCAGAAAGGAAGGAAGGAAAGAAAGAAAAAAAGAAAGAAGGAAGGAAGGAAAGAAGGAAAGAAAGACAAAGAAGGGGAAAGTGGAAGGAATGAAGGAAGGAAGGAAAGACAGGGCTTGCTCTGCTGCACAATCAGACACCTTGCTCGTCTTTTCCATCAAACTCAAATGAAGAACTTAATTATCTGTGGCGAGCCAAATTTCTGTGCCGTTCCTCTCCCACTGCAATATTACCCCATTAAAATACTAATATGAGGAACTGAAAAATATCTCAAGGAATGGCTGTCAGATGGAACTTCGGTGCCCCAAAACATTTAACTCCCCCAACCCCAATCTGTATAGAAACATTTCCCCCCCCCCCGTTATAAAATCCACAGACGGTTTACGACCACAGTTGGAAACGGGAGCTTCCATCGCTAAGCGACTCCTTGAGCGAGTTGTGCTCAGCGTTGCAACCTCGGGAAGCACATCCGGCTTTGATGTGGCTTGTCGGAAGCAGAAGTGGTTAAGCCACGGTTTGTTAAGTGAACCGCTGTGGTCATTAAGTGAATCCGGGCTCCCCCGTTGCCTTTGTTGGGCAGAAGCCAGCAGGGCAGGTCACTAAAAGGTGATCGCATGATCTTAGGATGTTGCAACCGTCTTAAAGACATGCCAGTGACCAAACCAGGTAAGTGCAGGGGAAAGCCAAACTGACCAATAAGACAGACCTACAACCAAGTCATAAAATATTTCTCTGGTCTTTTTAGAGTTGCCAACGGAAAGGGAGGGGGGAGCAGTGTAGCAGCTTGCAAAACCGAAACCGCATTCCATCGATGTTTTCAAAGATAGTAACTAGGTGACCAAAATTTCTGCTGCAGAAAATTCTAACTGAAGAGCATGATTGATGACTCTTGGCTATGGATGGGTCTCGTTGGAGAATATGATTTATGACACACCCAGGGGGTGGGAAGCCAAGATCAAGGGCGACAATGATGTGCCTCAGAGTCGGCTACACCCAGGCAGTGACGGCATGTTTACTCCTAATAAATCTTCTTTTAAGCTTTGAAAATCGGGCTAGAGACTCATAATTTAAATGGAGGTAACTATCGGAGCTCTGACACCTACAGGTAGTTAAGAAAGTAAAATATCTGGGAATATACTTAACAGCAAGATGTGTAACAATTAAAGAAAAGAATTATATAAGGCTACAACAACAAATTAAACTGGGCTTGGAGAAATGGGAAAACCTGCAATTATCAATGGTGGGAAGAAGAGCAACCATAAAAATGAATATTCTCCTAGCACCAGCAGGATTGGCAAAAATTTACTCAAATATGAACACGGTTGCGAGAAATCACTGGATTTCAAATAGAATTTAAGCCAGAAATGTTTTGCTAGGGATAATCAAAGGAACATTTTAAAAAGAAATGGAATACCTCATATCCACATTCTAACAGCAGCTATTGCTCAAAGTTGGAAATTAGATAGCACTCCCACAGACAGCATGATCATAAAGAAAATTACGGATTGTGCAGAAATGGCAAAACTCGTGTTGGAATTACAAGAGAGGGAAGAGAAGGGATATTATGCAGTCTGGAAAAAAAATGGTACAATTGGTTGGATGATAGGACGGCAAGAATAAAGAAATAATATAAAAAAATAAATGTACATACAAATACAGAGGTAGGTAGTTAACAAAAGCTGAGAAAGTAGATGTCACAACACTGTAAAAATTCTATTTGTGTTGCGTTGTTGTGTTGTTTTATATTTGTGTTTTTAATGGTGTCAAATTCAATAAAAAATTATTTTTTAAAAAATAGGAATATTCCACCAAAGCTACTCTTCTTATTTCAAATGATTCCTATAAATCTAGAGAGAAAATACTTTGATGAGTTAAACACTGTAATCCTGAAATATATAAATCACCTTTTTCAAGAGCCATCAGAAGTTCCAGCAGAATTTCAATTGAAATGGTGTTTTGTTTAATATTTTGTATATTCCTGACTGAAGGCTGAGCTGGAGAGGAAGGCAAGATGCAGACAGTCCTTGCCTTACAACCGTTCCTTTAGTGACCATTCAAAGTTACAAGGGTGCTGAAAATGGTGACTTAGGACAGACTATGTTTCACACTTATGACCACTGCAGCAAATCCCTGGGTCCCATGATCAAAATTCAGGTGCTTGGCAATTGACTCGCGCTTACGACGGTTGCAGTGTCTTGGGGGTCACGCGATCCCCTTCTGACAAGCAAGCGTCCACGGGGAAGCCAGATTCACGGAACGGCCGTGTTACTGACGGCAGTGATTCACTTAATAACAGTGGCAAGGAAGGTCTTGAAACGGGACAAAATTCACTTAAGCAAATGTTTCGCTTCGCTAACTCAACTGTGGTCGTATGTTGAGGACTACCTGTAGACACCCAGCAAACAAACAAACAAAGATGGATATGTTGGAATTGCCCCGCCATTTTTCACATACCTGATATCTCGGCCTGTGTTCTGGTCCAGTTTTTCCTGAAGTTTCTGAAAAGGAGAAAAAGGAGAAAAGGCTGGTTTTAAAAAAATTCCAACAAGACAATTACTACACCTACACACACACACACACACACACACACACCAGTTCACCTTACAACCAGTTGCAGTGTTCTATACATGATGCATGCCAATTTACGACCATTTTTGCTGGAAATAAACTTTTTGGGGGGGGTCGGTTTAGAGCAAAAAAACACCCCCCAAATAAATAAAAACCCCACCCATAGGAATGTATCACTTAAGGACCGACCCATTAAAGTCCAATCCATTCCCACAACACTGTCAACTTATTTAATAAGACTGTATTACTATTATTCCCCTACTACTAGATTTTAATAACACTTCCTAGACCTACGTGGCTCAGAGTCGGCTACACCCAGGCAGTGCTGGACAGTTTAACTCCCAATAAATCCTTTTGCAGTTTTGGAAGTTTGGCTCGAGGTGATTTAAATGGGGTTAAGCGCTGGAATCCTATCTGACTCTGAGACGCCTCGTTCTTATCACATCACTAAACTTATCAATTGCAATGATTCGCTTAACAACGGAGGCCAGAAAAGCCGTCGCACGAGGCAACATTCATGTGGTGAGTCTCTCCCTTAACAGCATAAATAATGTGGTCGTTAAGCAGAGGACGATCCGCGTTCAGCCTGGGAGACCACGGACTCTTATTCACACCTAAGAGGAGAAGTAGGAAAAAGGTGTGCAGCCTTTGTGGATTTCTTTTTTCTTTTACCTTGTTCTGCAGTTCCAAAGTCACCCGCTCTGCCTGGATTTTTTCGAATCTCTCAAGTTTCTTTTGCAGCCCTTCGACTTCCTCTTTCAGCAGTCCGTTGTTTTCTCTCATTTCCCTGGGAACCCCCCCCCCCAAAACGCTCTTGGTTAGAAGAGAAACTGTGTCAAAGGTATAAAACTAATACAGGTAGGGAGGAAGGAAAAGAGCAGGAAAAACACTCCTGGTTAAGTCGTCACCCTGACAGTGAAGTCCAATTGGATCAAAATATTCCGTCCTCTTCGAAATGACCTTTGAAATACCCCAAACTTTAAACCAGGGGATTGTCCAACCTTGGCAACTCTAAGACCTGTGGACCTCCAAAGTCCCTTCCAGATTCTATTCTATTCTATTCTATTCTATTCTATTCTATTCTATTCTATTCTATTCTATTCTATTCTATTCTATTCTATTCTACTCTACTCATTTCTATTCTATTTCTATTCTTTATTCCAGTGTTCTGTTCTGTTCTGTTCTGTTCTGTTCTGTTCTGTTCTACTCTACTCTACCCTACTCTCCATTCCATTCCATTCTATTCATTTCTATTCTATTTCTATTCTTTATTCCAGTGTTCTGTTCTGTTCTGTTCTGTTCTACTCTACTCTACTCTACTCTACCCTACTCTCCATTCCATTCCATTCTATTCATTTCTATTCTATTTCTCTTCTCTTCTCTATTCTATTCTTTATTCCATTCTTCTATTCTATTCTATTCTATTCTATTCTATTCTATTCTATTCTATTCTATTCTATTCTATTCTATTCTATTCTATTCCATTCCATTCCATTCTATTCTATTCTTATTCTTATTCTATTCTCTATTGTATTCTTTATTCCAATATTCTATTCTTATTCTATTCTATTCTTATATTCCTATTCTTATTCTTATTCTATTCTATCCTTTTAATTCTAACCCTTATCTACAAACTGCAATGCTGCCAAGGTATAACCCTCCCGTTATAACCGGGTGTGGACTGCTCGGGGCTCGCAGGGGTTTGAGAGAGCCCCCAGCCAAGATTCTGTGCAGTTCAGAGAAAACCCCAAATCCCACTCCTGGCTGGCCCCACCCACCCCTCCCAGGAGACCTCACGTGGCCCATTTTGGATGCAGGTAAGTGCAGGGCACGTGCAGAGGCTCAGTGAGGGAGAAAAATGAGCCTGCCAGAAGTTTGGGAAGGCCGGGAATGGGCCCGTTTCCACCTTCCAGAAAGCCTCCGGAGTCTGGGGGAGGCCATTTTCCCCTTCCTGGAGCCTCGAGGAAAGCCTCCGGAGTCTGGGCAGGGCAAAAACGCCCCCCTCCCCGGCTGGTGGTGCAGGAGGCCGACTAGGCCACGCCCACCCAGCAACCGGGCAGAGAACCCCTTGCTAAAATTTTACAACCCAGGCGGGGAGAAAGTACACAGTTCTGATACCAAGACTGGTGGCAAGAACAAGGCGCCAGGAGAAGAGGGAGGTGAGGAACAGAAAGCAGATCTTGACACACTGATATCCCCTTTTTCCTTTTCCTTACCTAAGGTAGGTGTTCTCCTCCCGGAGCTGCTGCAATTCCCGTTCCATCTGGGGAAACTGAGCCAGCTTCCTCTTCATGTTCTTCACGATGACCGCGTCTTGCTCTTGCGCGGACAGCTTCTGCTCGAGATCCTGGAGAAAACGGGGCCAAGAAAAACCCTTCAGAAGACCACCGAGCAAGGATTACACGGCGAAGTAAGGAGCAAAGCCGTTGGGTGTTTTCCTAAGGGTAGCTGGGGGGAAGAGTTTACCTCCGGGTAACGCCAAGGAGGAAGGGCCTAAGAGGTCTCACCTGAATCTTCTGCTCCTTCTTGGACATCAGCTGTTCCTTTGCCTGAAGGACTTGGATGCGCTGAATGGCCTCTTGCCATTTTCTGTTAAAAGGGGGAGATAAAATATCCGTTTATTGCACACCGCGGGGGCTTAAGATGGGTGGACTTCAGTTGAACTCCAAGGCTTCTCTCAGGAATGATGAAGGAGATTCTCCGACATCCAGGCCAGGGCTCCCCAGACACGACAAACCCTCTGACGTGAACTCAAAAAGATTCCTTGATTAAGAGCGCCGGCAGCCCCTTCAGAACGTTTCTCTCTTGATGCGGGTTAACAAGTCCGCCTGGCAGGGGAGATCAATAGTTGTCTGCCACACCTATTCATCTACACCCCCTGCTTTTTATTATCAGAGCTCGGGTGGGGCTTTGCTAGCAGCAGTGGCTCTATTGTCCCAAGGACCGGCCTATATATTTCCACTGCTCTCCTCTCCTCTGCCTTCTGTGTATCTGCGCATCAGGCACTGGACCCAGTTGTTCCTCCTGTTCCGCATCAGCCACTCCAGATCAGGGGGCTGTTGACTCTCCATCTGAGCTCTAACGGACAGCCCAGGCTCCATCTCTCTCTCTCTCTCTCAGTTCCCTTCCCCCTTGGAGCTCCCGTCCCGAGGGCCGGCCCATAGATTTCCACTGTTCTCCTCTCCTCTGCCTTCTGCGCCAGGCACTAGATCCAGCTGTTCCTCCTGTTCCTCATCAGCCACCTCCAGACCTGGGGGCTGTTGACTCTCCATCTGAGGGCTAACAGATGGCCCAGGCTCCACCTCTGTCTGTCTCTCTCTGTCTCTGTCTCTTTCTCTGTCTCTCTCTCTCTTCCAGCTCCATTCCCTCTTCCCCCTCGCAGCTCTCAGGTTGCACTGATGCTGACCCTGACTCCCACTCCTCCTCCTCCTCCCGATTCAGCTGTTGGAGGGTCCAGCGGCTGACAGGTCACAACAGTTGGATGTTTTTTTAAAAAACGTACACGTTTTCCAAGGTTTGTCCATTTTCAAGGCTACCTTTTCTGCCGGTTGCACTCCTTGGATTACACTCGGTTACTAAAGACTTTAGAATCGAATTCCCGCCTGTGGTTGCTCGCCCGCTTACTTGTGAAGCACGTCCACCTGTTCGGTCAACTCCTGGATTTGGGATTGCTGCTTCTTCATCTCTGTCTCCTGGTTCATCGTGTTCCACTGTGACTCTGATACTTTTCCCTTCAAGCAGCTGATGGTCTGAGAGAGAAAGCAATAGTCGGTGTTTATTTGTTATACATGCTTCTCACCGGCTGTTCAAACGGTGAAGGGATAGAATAGAATTCTTTTTATTGGCCAAGTGTGATTGGACACACAAGGAATTTGTCTTGGTGCAAATGCTCTCAGTGTACATAAAGATGCATTCAAGAGTGAAGAA